AATTTAATAATTTCAATACTCAAATTACATTTTAAATGTATGATTTGAATTATAAGAGTCTTTTTCAGTCTTAAATTACCAAAAAATTAATATCTAGAAAAAAGTTACCACAAAAATTTAAAAAAAAAAAAAAATGCCGGCGAGAACTTAGGATACCGCCGGAGATGAGGTGAAACGACGCCGCATAGGACAATCTCAGAGCCTCAGACAGCCGGAGTTCTCGCCGCATCTCCTGCACCAAAAGCGCTTTTCCTAAATCAAGTTCCGATAAAAGCACATTGCGGAAAGCACTAATACGCCACCTGCTTCTTTCACCTTTTTTAGTTCTCTCATTAAACCCTCCCTGTGCTGCCTATGTACGCCACTAACGCACTCACGCACCCACGCAGTCGCTTTCCCATGGCTTCACCTAGCTCCGTCATCGCCTGGTCTGTACTCTCTCTCAAGAACTTGTTTTTTCTGCACTTGATGTGATTCCATAGACACTTCCATGGAAACTTACAGACCCTCTTCCTTTTTTTTCCAGGGGGTCAGGAGAAGATGGGCAATTGGGAATTGGGAACAACGAAGAGAAGGAATGGGTTTGCGTCGTCAAAGCTCTCGAGCCTCACCAAGTTAGTTCTATCGTCGCCGGCAGTCGCAACTCCCTTGCTATCTGTGACGACGGCAAGGTCCCACTTCCCTACATAGGATATATATAGTATACTCTATTTACAATCTCCGTCTTCTTTTTATTTGTCTTAGTTTCTCAAGTCTCAGTCTTTTTGATTATTTAGCGAAATAAAATATCGGGTCTTTGGAAGTTAGAAGTTTGATTGGCTTATGGTGATCTGATATATTATTATGTTATTCGTGCGAGTGATGTTTGTGTTCATCAAACTTTATTGTTTCTTGTCTGGAAGATTGATTTTTTATTTGGCGTTTTTGTTTGAATGAGTGTCAGTTGTTTACATGGGGTTGGAACCAGAGAGGAACTTTAGGGCACCCACCTGAGACCAAAACTGAGAATATTCCGAGTCAGGTCAAGGAGCTTGCTAATGTCAAAATTGTTCAGGTGATTTTTCAGTTTTCTTTTAACTTTGATGGTTGTTTTTGCAATTATCTGTCTGTTTGGTTTTAATTTTCAATTTTCCAGGCAGCTATTGGTGGGTGGCATTGTTTGGCTGTTGATGATCAAGGCCGAGCTTATGCTTGGGGTATGTTTTTCTTTTCTTTTCTCTACACCTGTTATTGGGGCAATAGATTTGAGGAAAACATAACATCTAAAAGAATTCTCTATCTCATAGTTGAACGGAGTAGGTTGGCATGGTTTGAAAGAAGAGTAATTTTATTGATCTCTTTCGTTGCATGATCAATAAAAAGTGGAACTTTCAATTGTGGAGTCAAGCTTGTTATGTGATCTTTGAAATATATTGATGTGAATGTGTTTGGTGCAGGTGGTAATGAGTATGGACAGTGTGGTGAGGAACCTGAGAGGAAAGTTGATACTGGTAGGCCTTTGAGAAGGGATATTGTGATTCCTCAGCGCTGTGCACCAAAGCTTGTAGTTCGCCAGGTGGTTTTCTTATGCTGATATATATAGTTAAATTAAACGTAAATGACTATGCAGAAATTTTTTGACTTCTCATTTCTCAGTAGCCTATATCAGTATAGTCATAGGCCTCTGCTTGGGGCATTTTATCATTAGAGATTCTTTCCTCTACCTTCACCCATCATTTTCAAATTTCCATGCATATAGCCATGTACCTGGTACTCTGGCTTAAACTGTAGTAATGTCTTCTATTATTTTGATTCTTGTATGATAGGTAGCTGCTGGTGGTACACATTCTGTAGTGCTTACACGTGAAGGACATGTCTGGACCTGGGGTCAGCCCTGGCCACCTGGAGACATGTATAATCAATCCCTTTTGGTTTAGTTCTTCAAATTTAGTTTCATGCAAGTTAGTTGACTGCAGTATGGTTATCATTATCCTTGGCAGTGCTGTCAGCTTCCTTGATATCTTGCTTCATGTTCATAAATGGCTATTATCGTGTTGTAAATTTCTATTTTCCTTTCCTTTTTCAGAAAACAAATATCTGTTCCTGTGCGTGTACAAGGTCTTGAAAATGTGAGGCTTATAGCAGTAGGGGCATTTCATAATTTGGCTCTTCAAGAAGATGGCACCTTGTGGGCATGGGGCAATAATGAATATGGACAACTTGGCACTGGAGATACCCAACCGAGATCCCAACCTATATCTGTCCAGGGGTTCTCTGATCTCACTTTGGTATGTATTTGACCTTGTGCTGCCAACCACTATTTTGCTTTCTAAACTAAAACAATTTAAACTCTAGTCATTGATTAATGCCTAAACTCTAAAACTTTAAAATCTTAAATCTTTGCTTTTGTCTAAGCTGGACATAAGCCAGGAAGGAAATTCTCAAATCTGTATTATGTCCTGCGTCCTCATTACTCGTCCATTTTTTCAGTACTCTGACTGGTTTTCTATCTGTATGCATATCTAGGTTGATATTGCAGCTGGTGGATGGCATTCTACTGCATTGACTGATGATGGGGAGGTATGACAGAAATGCTTTTTGAGTTTAATGTGCTACTGGGGATTTGAAGTTGCTGATACTTCTTAGGAACTTATGTTTCATTGGTAATGATAGGCAGCATTCTTCACCTATCATTTTATCTAGTCTAGCTTGCTTCTTAGGTTATAATCAGTGATTTCTTATGCAGGTTTTAGATATTGGTGGTTGGACTAATAGACAGTAGTCATGATTGCTTGAAGACTAATTATGTTTAGGATTCATAACTTTTAGAATTTATGGCAATCATTATTGTTACTTTTTGGTTCACAATGCTGCAGGTGTATTGTAATTGGTTTCTTTTGTGCCTTTCAGATTTTGAGCCTAAAATAATTGAGTATCAGTGTTCAAGTGAACAAGAATAAATTTTTACATGGTATATGTGCTCATCAGGTGTATGGTTGGGGAAGAGGGGAACATGGGAGGCTTGGATTTGGTGATAATGACAAGAGCAGTAAAATGGTGCCACAAAAAGTTAATCTTTTAGCTGGGGAGGACATTGTTCAGGTACCGATACTCAACTAGTTAATTTACATCTGATCAGCTTATGAAATGGCCTGAATGAATGGAATACATGAACAGGTTTAAGTAATGGAATAGTAGTGTTGGCTAGACTCTAGGAAAGGGATTACCTTCTTTTCAAAATGAAATTGAAGAAATTGATAAAATGGTACTAAGTTTGATTTTAGTAACATGAAATATTGGAAGACTCCTAACATACTGCTAACAAACTTATAATGTGATCTAGGTGTCTTGTGGTGGGACTCACTCAGTTGCATTGACACGTGATGGGCAAATGTTTTCAGTAAGTAATCTGATGCTATCACTGCTAAACGAATAATAGTAGGTCTCAATGCATTGCACATATTAAAAAAACTGAAGGCATGTTTAGTAACATTGCTGTTTAGGGTTTTTGTTTTTATTTATTTGATTCTTGTGGCAACTAAAACCATATATGGTAACAGAAAAGTAAAAATCATGATGTGGATGTCTAAACCCAACCACATGATGGATAAGATTTAAATGGGATCTGCATTATGTCCCACCCATCTTGTGGCTGTTATCAAACGTCCTATTTTTCCACAACCTCATGTAGTAACCCAGCAATATAGCATATATGTAATCGATTACTGTATACAGTGTATTAATTGCCAAAAATAAAAGAGATAGAAACAAAAAGAAAAGAAAAGAAAAGAAAAAAGACAACATTACTAAACTGTCCTTAAACGTAGAGAAGCAACACACTACATACAATTTTCAAACAATGTGCTCTACTCCTATCTGATTACTGAATTTTTTTGGCCAGTTGATTGGTGGATTGATAACTCTATGGTAACAAAATCTGGAACGTTAACCTATAATTTCTGGTTGTGATGGGCAGTTTGGTCGAGGGGACCACGGACGCCTTGGATATGGGAGGAAGATGACAACAGGTCAGCCAATGGAAGTGCCCATTCATCTTCCCCCTCCAAAAAATGTTAGCAGCAATGAAGATGCAGGACGCTGGATTGCTAAGCTTGTTGCTTGTGGAGGGCGGCACACTCTGGCAATAGCAGAATGGAAGACTGATGAATCCAAGCTATCCTGATATAACTTTATGAATGTCTGGCAGGAAGCCTAGGAGATTATGAGATGTATACTGACGAGGCTAGACTCGTCGGCATAGAGAGGATATCCCAATGGATTTATGTTTATGGGGAGGAAAATGGTGCCTGCTCTGCTCCTAAGCAGGCACTGAAGGGTAAACCATTAATTTTGAGGCAATACTTATCTGTTAATGTTGTGTTCAATGGTATGTTTAAGTTGAAGAAAATAGAATGAAAGAAAATTTTTTTTAATCAATTAAATTATAATGTCTTCAAATCGTTATAATTTGAATAATTAAAAATTCTCTTAAATGTATACATTTGATGAAGTGTTTTGTAAGTTAAGATCAAGACCATTTCTTCCTGAGTCTGGAACTTAATCTTTAAGAAAATAATAGAAGTTTGGTATAACAAAAATAGCTTTTGAAATCTGGGACTCGACCCATTAGGTTACAAAAGCTGGTTTAGTTTGATACGTCCTGCATGTATAAATAAGTTTGCAGTCAAACTCCTTATGAATTGAAAATGAATTTATTTGATCAATGGGTCAAATGAATGCATGATAAAATCAGCAGCAAGAAAATAAAAAGCAGCTGCTCCGAAACTTTGATCAGAAAGTCACATAACACTAGCACGTAAACGACCAAACAAATTCTTCTCATCAATAACAAAGCATGTATCTATCATGCATTGGAACAATTCAAGTTCCGGGAGCTCTCCACACTAAACGATCAATTCAATGTAACTCCTCTAAAAACAACCCAAATGCATCTATGTAACAGCAGGAGACATAAATAGGGTAACATGTCCTAAGAACGGAAATCATTCCTGTGGCTTCCCCTCTCCTGATAGCTTTGATGCTTCCTTGATCTCATCACCAGCTTCGTCCTAAAATAGAGTACACAACAAATTGTCAGTTAAAAAGTTATGAGGGAAGTCCTTGTGACAATCAAAAAGATGGAATTCTGGTGGGAATTCCTGATTTACATCTATAATGATGGAATAGCATCAAGATAATCCATTTCATGTATCAAGACACAAAAGGCAGACACATAGACAGACGGGAGGGAGAGAGAGAGAGCAGAGACCGTGATGTCAGAAGTCCAAAGGGTCAGATTATCTCGGAGAAGTTGCATGATCAATGTACTGTCCTTGTAAGATTCTTCACCGAGTGTATCAAGTTCAGAAATAGCCTCATCAAAAGCCTGTCAAATAAAACCACTTCTAATGTTATGAAAACCAACATTAAATCTTAACCATTGTTAATCCCTCCAGAGGGATATCCTTTGAGATTTTTAAAAGAAAAACTAATATAGAGCCTTGAATATAAATATTATGGCAAAAAACTGAGCTACAAAGTATTATATTAGGATCACTAGACTGAATATTAAAGAAATAAGAAACATGCAGGAAATAGTAAGGCAATTGTTTTGCAAAAGCCATCTTGACATTAAAGGAGCTAATTAAAATCATCAAACATGAACTCTTAGTCATACATATGCCAATCCAAACAGACATAATAATTTAACAAAAGTAAAGTATGGACATGAGCATTGCAGCAGCTCACTAGTCTAGTCTATAATGAACTTAGCATAAGCTCAATGGTTCACTCTCATCTTGCAAAGCACGCTAAATTTTCTTTTTCATTAAGAAAACACACCACCTACAAACAAATCTAAACAACCTATACAAGGTGATGATTTTTGAATCAATGACATTGTTAGAAAGTTGGACAACCAAATAAAACGTTTCTTTTAAGCCAATGGACAAAAAGCAGGAAAACAGATTAATCTATTAGGAAAAATATATATATAGCAGTACAACACAAATACCTGTTTTGCAAGGTTGCAAGCACGATCTGGCGAGTTAAGGATTTCATAGTAGAAGACGGAGAAGTTAAGAGCAAGACCCAGCCTTATTGGGTGAGTAGGAGCAAGTTCAGCAGTAGCAATATCCTGACATCAAATATATATTGAAATAAAACAAAAGGCATATGAGATATTTCACCATGACGAGAAGGAAATAAGGGACAATAGCTAAGGTTAACGTCATGGCACCACGAATTGCATACCTGAGCAGACTTGTAAGCCAACAGGGTGCTCTCAGCAGCCTCCTTCCTCTCAGCTCCAGTCTTAAACTCAGCAAGATACCTGTGATAATCACCCTTCATCTTAAGATAAAACACCTTCGACTCAGCAGACGAGGCTGATGGAACGAGGTGAGACTCGAGAAGGCTCAAGATTCCATCACAGATCTTGCTCAGCTCAGCTTCAATCTTGCCCCTGTACTCCTTGATTGTTGCAACATGATCCTCATTTCCCCTGCTCTCTTCCTTCTGCTCAATGGAAGAAATGATCCTCCACGAAGCCCTCCTAGCCCCAATGACATTCTTGTAAGCCACTGAGAGGAGGTTTCGTTCCTCAACAGTTAGCTCCTCAACATCCACAGTCTTGGCTACTTTTTCCATGAACTCCACCATCTCTTCATAGCGTTCAGCCTGCTCGGCCAACTTGGCCATGTACACATTTTCCTCCCGAGACATCTTCGCTATACAAATCTAACAAATGATTCTGCATCAGAAAATCATTGAAAACTTATATTAACCGTGCTTTTATTTTTTCCAATCCAACATTTTCTCGGGAACCAAGCAGGTCAAAACAATACTACGTCCATGGAACGAAAAATAAATTCTTCAAGAGATATAAATCTCATCCATCATATGTTACCCAAAAAAAAAGAAAAAGAAAAATCCACAATCAAATCGCCAATCCAGACTAATTTTGACTGAGAAAATTATCTCAAAAAAATAAAAAACCTAGAGTCAAAAACTCCTTTCCAGTAATTTCTCATCTACCAAACAGATCGTGATAATAAAATTACAAAAAAATATACATATATCTGCCAGTCAAAGTAATCAACACAAAGCTGAAATCCTGAAACCTCAGCGAATCGGATCAAAATCACAGAATCAAACCAATCAGCAACCAAAAATCCAGCATCGTGTCGAAGTCAAAATCACAAACAGATTTGGACGAAACGAGAGAGATCAACACAATAAATGACCAAAAATTCAATGAAAATCCATAGATCTGGAACAATACATACCTAGTTGAGATTTTCTCTGTGCGTATAAGCGAGAAGAAAAACAAGGAGGGTGGGGGGATGGGGCTGTTAAGAAAAGGTTAAAACCCCGTTTTGTTCTCTGAACTATTGTATAGATTTGATTTGGTCCTTATTGTTTATCAGTTTTATCTAACTTGGTCCTTTTGTTAAACAAATACCGTCAACTAACAAAAATTTGATGACATGTCAAAAATTTAAGACACGTTAGTTCTATAAATGAATAAATGATAACATAACAACATGATAGGTCATATTCTTACCCAACATCAAAAAAAATGGGGCCCACCAAAATTATCATTTTGCCATAATCTTCTTCCCCCAATATCTTCTTTTTCGAATCTTTTTCATTCAAACAATCAATTCAATAAAGCAATTAAACAATCAATTTAATGAAATAATTAAACAATCAATTTAAAGGAAGCCAATGCCTAGTTTGAATCTAACCCAACAAGCGCCCTTTCTTTTTCCTTCCTTCCTCTTTCCTTTATCAATCAATTCTTTCTCTCCATCAAACAACCAAACCCATAAATTTTTTTTTTAAAAAAAAGCAAATTTTTTTGCCCTTGGGTTCAAAGGAACCTAGCACACATGAGTGCAATAAAACCCAACGCTTGGGTTCGAACAAGCCTAGAGCCTAAGTTCGAACAAGCCTACAACCTAAGTTCGAACAAACCTGCGCTTAGGTTCCAAGGAACTTAGTAGTGCCTGGGTTCCAACAAACCCCGCGCCTGGTGCTGTTGCCCTTTGCTCTTTTAGGGTTCGAATGGGAAGAAAGGAGAGAAGATAGTGAGCTTGGGTAGGAGGTGGGCCTCATGTTTTTTTTTTTTTTGTTGACTGGGGATGTGATGTGTTTTTGATGACATGTATCTTTTTTGTCCATGTGTATAGTTGATGTGTCATAATATTTGGACATGTCATCATACT